AGACTTGGAGCTGGAGCTGAATCACAGAGATCTGAGCTGAGTCACTTGTCTTGAGCTGTAACACTAAATCCTGTGATCCAGTCTCCCGGGGGGCCGCTATCCTTCCTTTATCGACTCACGGAAACCCAGCTTTAGCCGCCCCGCACCTCTCCTCGTGACCCGGCAGCTGACGGGTCCCGAACTTAGAGAGAGAGTGCACGGGTGAAATTGGGGCGGAACTCGACCGGGCCAGCCCCGGTAGCAGAGGGATCCACAGCGGAGAAGCCGAGACCCACAACAACGCGGTACCCTCAGCACCCCAGCGGCGGACAGTGACGCGGTGTGCAACCAGACACGCCGCATCTCCAGCGGCGAGTGGGAGACCAGCGCCACGCCCAGCAGCTGGTGCTCCGCGAAATCCGCACGCCCATACATTCCCATAAAAATCAGGAACCAGACAAGGCTGTCCACTATCTCCACTCCTTTTCAACATAGTGCTTGAAACTCTTGCTAGAGCGGTAAGACAGGAGAAGGAAATGAAAGGAGTACTAATTGGAAAAGAAGAAGTCAAACTATCATTTTTTACCATTTTATGATACTATACCTAAGAGACCCCAAAAGTTCCACCAGAAAACTCTTAGAACTGATAAACACTTTAAGTATAGTGGCAGGTTATAAAATCAATCTATAAAAATCAGAAGCCTTTCTATATACCAATAACAAGCAATCGGAGAAAGAATACAGGGAAATGCTCCCATTCACAATTGCTGCAAAAATAAAGTATCTTGGAATAAATCTGACCAAAACCACCAAAGATCTCTACAATGAAAAATTTAAATCACTAAAGAGACTGAGGAAGACATCAGGAGATGGAAGGACCTCCCGTGTTCATGGACTGGAAGAATTAATATTGTGCAAATGACCATCCTACCAAAAGCAACATATAGATTCAATGCAATCCCAATCAAACTCCCCACGACATACTTCACAGAATTAGTAAAAAAATCCTTAAATTCATATGGAAGCACAAAAGACCCCAATGGCCAAAGCAACCCTGAGCACAAAGAACAATGCTGGGGGATTACTACACCAGATCTCAAAGATTACTACAGAGCTATAGTCATAAAAACAGCATGGTACTGGCACAAAAATAGACACATAGATCAATGGAACATCATTGAAGAGCCAAACCTGAGTACACACAATTTCAGCCTCCTGCTATTTGACAAAGGTGCCAAGAACACACAATGGAGGAAAGAGAGCATCTTCAACAAATGGTGCTGGCAAAACTGGATCTCCACCTGTAGAAGAATGAAACTAGATTCTTATCTTTCACCTTGCACAAAAGTCAACTCCAAATGGATCAAAGACCTCAATGTAAAATTGGAAACCCTGAAACTATTAGAAGAAAATATTGGGAGTAACTTGCAAGATATAGGTGAAGGAAAGGATTTTCTAAATCAGACAGAAGTTGCTCAGGAATTAAGGTCAGCAATCAATAAGTGGGACCTCAGTAAACTAAAAAGCTTCTGCACAGTAAAAGAAACAGTTAAAAAAGTGAATAGAAAACCCAAAGAATGGGAAAAAACTTCACCAGCGACACATCTGACAGAGGTTTAACATCCAGAATTATAAAGTACTCAAAAAACAAAGAAGCAAGAAATCAAATAAACCAATTAAAAGATGCGCTAAAGATCTAAACAGTTCTCAAAGGAAGAAATAAAGATGGCTAAGAAACATCTCAGAAAGTATTCAACATCGTTAGTAATTAGGGAAATGCAAATTAAAACCACCCTAAGGTATCACCTTACCCCAATCAGACTGGCTAGGATCAACAGAACAAATGATACCAAATGAAGGCGAGACTGTGGAGAAAGGGGAACACTCATTCACTGCTGGTGGGATTGCAAACTCATGCAGCCTGTATGGAAAACAGTGTGGAGAACTCTTCAAAAACTAAAAATGAACCTCATATGATCCCGTTATACCACTCCTTGTCATATACCCAAAGGAGTCATCCTTTTGCAGAGACACTTGTACATCCACATTTGTAGCTGCTTTTTTCACAGTAACTAAGAGATAGAAGCAACCTACGTGTCCCTCAACTGAAGTGTATAAAGAAAATGTGGTTCA